GTAACAACCGTGAACCTTGTTCCCAACAGATAGTGACGCCACATTTCCAAGCAATGAATTACCGCTGTCATTTCCTTCTCATGGGTACTGTATCGGGTCTCAGCATCTTTCGATTTCCGACTCTCAAAAGCAATAGGATGTTTGTCTTGGACCAACACCCCACCAATAGCACGATCTGAAGAATCGACTTGTACCTCGAATGGCTGGTCGAACTTTGCCAACTTCAGTATCGACTCTTGGGTCACAGCTTGCTTCAGCAAATCAAAGGCAACTTGTTGAGCTTTGTCCCACTCCCAACACCTGTCCTTCTTCAGTAAATCCATCAACGGGCTGACTACCTTGGAATACCCTTTAATGAATCTTTGGTAGTAGTTTGCCAGCCCTAAGAAGGAGCGCAACTCGGTTACTTTGGATGGTTCGGGCCAATCAGCAACAGCCCGCACCTTTTTAGGGTCCATGCGAATACTTCCTTGGCTGATGATGTGTCCAAGGAATGTGATTTCCTCCTGACAGAATTCGCATTTCTCCTTCTTAGCATACAACTTGTTTTCCCTCAATTTCTCAAGCAAACATCGCAAGTGCTTGACATGCTCATCAACCGTCTCAGAATAGATCACGATGTCATCCAAATATACGACCACAAATTTATCCAAGTACTCGTACAACACATCATTCATCAAATTGCAAAACGTAGCAGGGGCATTGGTTAACCCGAAGGGCATCACCAAGAATTCAAACGACCCGTACCTTGTCACACAGGTGGTCTTTGCCTCATTGCCCAGGGCAATACGCACCTGCCAATACCCAGAACGCAAATCAATTTTCGTGTACCACCTTGCTTGAGCCAGCTTGTCAAACAGGTCCAAGGCATTTGGAATTGGATACTTGTTTTTAATGGTATCTTTGTTCAACGCCCGATAGTCCATGCACATGCGCATCGACCCATCTTGCTTCCTTTGGAACAATACTGGGGAACCGTAAGGCACCTTTGAAGGCTGTATCAATCCCGCACCAAGCAGCTCATCCAACTGCTTCCTCAATTCGGCCAGCTCGGCTGGTGGCATCCGATAAGGAGGTTGAGCAGGGGGCTGAGAACCTGGTTCCAGTTCAATCCGATGGTCACAGGGTCTACGCGGAGGCAACTCCTTATGCAACTCAGGGGGCATCGTATCCTTGAATTCATCAAGAACTTTACCAAAAATATCCGGTACTTCATAAAATACGTCTGGTTTGGTCTCAATCAAAGCCGCAAGGTACGTTGTGCGACCATGCCTAAGTCCATCGCGATCTTGCAAGGCCGACACCATGCTTGTATCTTTCTTTTGAACAACAAACTTGACAGCGAGAGGCTGCTCTCTCCCATCATCAACCAAGATTAGCTTGCCTTCGTGGGGTTTTGGGAAGACTTTAGCCTTCCTCATAAAGTCTATTCCAAGAATCATCGCAAAATCATCAAGAGGGACGATGTGCAACGCACACAATCCTTTCCAAGGCCCAACTTGCATCTCGACTTGGGCGACACCCTTAATCGGTTCACCTTGAGCATTCACTGGTTTCATCTTTCCCTCGTGAGGCTCAACAGTAAGGCACAACTTCCGAGCATACTCCTCGTTCACAAAGCTGTGGGTAGCACCGCAATCCACTAACGCCATAATATCTTTGTTCCCTATGGCTACCTTAGTGTACATCAAGCCATCACATGCAACAGGGACTTTCTGAACTTGGTTCAACAACAGCATCGAGTTAAGGCCCATGGTACCTTCCTCAGTATCCTTGGTGGTGCCTTGCACCACCACAGCATTTGTTTTGGCATTTACACGTTTAGGACAATCCCGCATGCGGTGGTCACCATCACACAAGAAGCACCCGCGGTTTGAACGGTCCACAACCAAAGTTTGGTTCTTAGACTCTCGGGACCTATTCTCCTTCTTTTCCCCCGCCTTCTTCTTGTATTTGCCACTGATATAGCCATACTGTCGTGTAACGGTTCAATACCATTGTGGTTCATAGATTACCGAGTCGACTTACGCAAAGTCCACTCTGTCCGCAGACTTTATGGTATCTCCGGTCAAGGATCCAGGCATCTCCCCAGTCGACTTCCACATGTCGACTAGCAAAAGTGGATTTCCTCTTGAAAGACGGTCAAACACGTGAGGATCTACTAACAATCGAATATGACCCAGTCGACTCGAGTCGACTGGATCAAGTCGACTGAGAAAGCTCTGGAAGCCCATAAAACCCGATAGCTCTAATACACTTCAGCATACCGAAGGGGCAGCTAAGGATAAGGAAGGATCTAGAAGCTGACTAGGAAATAGACAGAATGCGAACCGACCAGGGTAGTTTGGACATTTCCAGTAAGTCGGCCGGGGCATTTTGGGGACTTCAGGTGAATGTTCCATTTCTATATAAAGGAGCTGAGGTAACTCCAAAACCCTAACTCCCATTCATTCCACATTCTCCCTCATTGCTGTTGCTTCCTCAGAGCAGCTCTTTTCACTCTTTTCACATACTGAGTTGAGCGTCTGAGGCTCTACGCCGGAAATCCCTCCGGCGTTGAGTTCTTGCAGGTGTTCTCGCAGCTCAACAATGATTCGAAGGTCGTCGAATCAGATCATAGCTCATTCATACCGGTTCATCCCAGATCCGAACGTTTTCTCATCGGGCCGTTCCAGATCTGAGAAGAGACCCCTCATTTGGCGCCGTCTGTGGGGAGCTCTTGAAGGAAGTAAGAGCTTTACACCTAGTTTAGATCTGTTTCCGATGGCTGACAAGGAAGGAACGCAGAAAAACTTGAACGAAGATTTTAGGGCGGCGTGGACTGACAAGCGACCTCCGCCGATTCCCAACCCCCGAACACCGCTCCAAGTGTTCGGTTTCCCACCGTTTGGGGCACACGCGCCGTCAGAAGGGCGTATGAGGGAAGAAATGCCTATCACCCCACCCGGAGTCAAGATCCCAGTGCTCACTCAAGGGGAGGCCAGTCACGTGAGGAGCACGAGCGGAGAAGTCAACGGTCGTGAGTCAACCGAGACGCTCCTAAGTCTGGGAAAGCAGCGTGCACCGCTCGAGCTAGGAAAGAGACCGCTGCCCCAAAGCGAGGAGCAAATGTTGACCATAACACGGGGCGAGATGCAGAGGATGATTGCCGAAGCTGTAGCCGCCCAAATCAAACAAACACCAGTCGAGCAACCCAGGGTGGAACAACCCCGAATCGAGCAAGCTAGGATCAAACAACCTCAAAATGAGCAGCAACCCCCTGAACGCGAACAACAGGCACAATCACATGAAAGGCAGAACAGGAGGGTAGATGAGGAGGAGTCCTCTGTCAGAACCGTTAATCCACAAGCCAGAAACGACACGCTGGAGCAACTGTTAGCACAGGTCCGAGACTTGCAGGCTCAGGTGGAAGGAAGAAAAACGGGAAGCTCGAGGGGACACCCTTTTTCACAACATATTCTAGACGCCGACTTGCCTCAAGGGTTCAGGGAACTCAATATCTGGTATGACGGGTCGACTGATCGCTCTCGACATCTCAGAAGTTTCGAAAACATGGCAGTATTGCACCGATATAACGACCCCGTTCAGTGTCGAGCATTCCTAACGACCCTGCGAGGACCAGCGCAGGATTGGTTTCATCAATTGCCCCCAGGGGCCGTCAGGGATTTTGATGGATTTAGCTCGAGTTTCCTAAACCAATTCGCAAGTGTAAAAGCCCAAGAAAAGTCTTACCTTACTTTGATAGGTATGCAACAGAAAGAAGGGGAATCATTGAGGGACTACGTGGCGAGATACACACGGGCGTGTGTCGACGTCCCCTCGGCCACTGAGGAGATCAAGTCGGGAGGACTCACTCGAGGGCTACTCCCGGGACTGTGCAGAAATTCTCTAGCGAAACGACCCGGGAGGACGTTCGATGAAGTATTAGGAAGGTGCGCCAAATACATGAATGTCGAGGAAGCCGAAGCTGACTTTCTGCAAGCAGCTAAGCCAAAAACTGAGCCTCGGGACGAGAAGAAAGATAAAAAGCCTGTCGCGGCGACTGAAAGGAAGGGATCCCCGAGGACTGGAAGAGAAGGACGATCAAGGGGATGGAGG